CGTCACCACTTCAGGTGACAACTCGCCGTAAGCCCTCACCTGGCTGATGGCATGAGTTCGAGTAGAGTGCCCTAATCAGTGCAATGTATTTTCTCGTCATTCTCTTTACAGCCAAGCATCGCCAGAGTACCTCTCGGTCGACAGAATCGAATTCCGCCTTTAGGTCATGAAGTATAATGATTGTTGGACGCCGGTAGGAATTCCTATATTCTAGAATCTGTCTGAGGGTGAAGATATGACCAATACACTCTCTTCCTGGTCTAAAGCCTGCCTGGCTCTCTCGTGTTTGTGCCTCCCGAGCACCACTTAGTCTACGCATGATTATTGAGCCTAGGACTTTAGATACGATATTAGTCAAACTAATCCCTCTGTGATTATCACAGGAAGACTTGACTCCCTTCTTGTATGTGGGGTTAATCAGAGACTTACACCAACCTGATGGGACTTCCTCTGATTCCCAGACGCCGCCTAGTACTTCAGTTAATGCAGACAGTAAACTGTCTCCACTGTACTTAAATACCTCTGGAGTTATTCCATCAGGTCCTGATGCTTTGCCTAGTTTCAGACTAATGACAGCTTTAGTAACCTCAGCTGGGGACGGAGGACCTGTGTCTATATCCCATTCAGGAAGGTGTTGGATGTTCGGCAGGTTGAGAGCGACTGTAGGCCAATTAAACTGCTCCTCATAGTGCTCTTTCCAGCGTTCCAGTCGTCTATCCTGGGAGCTAATTATGGTGGCATTTTTCTCAGAGATTGTTTCACTTATTACTCGCCTTTTATCACCTGATTCCCTTATAAGCCTAAATAGTTGTCTGGTGTTACCAATCACCAATGCCTTTTCCATCTCTTTCGCTTTTGTCGCCCACCACTGTTTACGGTCGTTGCGAAGACTTTGCTAGTTTTCGTTGTACGTAACTCCATTCTAGCTTATCTCATCTATACCAGATATCGGGCTGACTTTGACAAAGCTTTCAAAGTTATTTATTGCATTTCAACCAGTCTGTTGCATGCTCTAGAAGTATGACTTTTACATTCAGCAGAGGCCATTGGAATTCATCTGATGAACAAGCCAGTTCTGTGTGTTCAAAAGAAATTTTTGCAGCTCCTTTCTCTTCCCATGACGATCTACACAACATGCATTAAGTTTCATAAGTGATTATCTCCATCCCTCTGTCACTGTCACTTGTCCTTATTTTTATTTTGATTACTGTACTGTACAAAAGGAAATGGTGGTCACTTGGAATCTACCCTGGTTAATATGTTCTACTTAAAAACTGTTATTATTAGTAATAATATTTTATTCTACCTCTTATTATTACTATTCCTGATTCAGTTAAAACTATCTTCTATCAGTAGCGTTATCTCAACATTATTATTAATATTACTCAGTGCGTTGGCGGTTCACTGGTAGAACACTGGCCAATCACGCAAGTGGCCCAGGGTCCGACCCCTAGCTGGCGCACTCCTGTACTGGTAGTATTGTAACAACAGAAGACATGGGCCTGACAACAGATCGTTTATTGAGAAAACCAACAGACACTTATAGATTTTTATGTACTGTATTATTCGTTATTGTTAGCAGAGAGGCAACGTCTTCTGATTGGTTGTTTTCCTGCTGAAGGTCATTCTGTCATCTCTTTGTTGCCGTTTCTTAGACAGTCCGTTGATATATCTGCTAATCGTGTCCGCCCACGCAAAGTCTGCTGTGATTGGTTGTTGAGTTAGTCTTTGTTCTTGCTTTTTCTCTCATGACCAAGATACAGGAAGTAGAAATTGACGCAAATTGCTGTCTAGTAATTTTGGCTAGCAGACAGCTCTCACCACAGTATGGCAAGCAAAGAGGAAAGGTTGTGCGTAAGGCTAGCAACCTTACCCCGTAAAGAAACATCACTGGTACTGAAACTTCAGAGCCCTATCTTCCACTGGGAACCGCCAAAAGCGGTATCTTGTCCTTAACGTTAGAATGGCTATCCGGTATCTGAAACTGGACTTCTGCATTCAAAAGCACCACATGCATCCAGTCGCCCTACTCTGACCAGAGTAACGTTCTCACTATAATTTTGCTTGGTGAACTATTGAAAACCAGAAGGAAGTACTGGACAACTGCCTATTCCTACTTCAGGCAACTGAGTCAGACTATGATGGCTGAGTGGTCTACGCCATCCCCATGTAACTGGAAGGTCCTGGTTTCGAAGCCTGGTCTTGGCTGCGTCTACCTGGGATGAATATTTACACTTTAGAAGCTGTCAAAAGGGTGTTTGGACTAATCAACCACTGAGCTGGCAAGAAACTTTTGCCTTACCCCAGCTGTACATTGCCTTCTAATATACTCCAAAATCTTGAAAATTGATAATCAAGTCCCCACAGGACTACTCAGTGAAAAAGAAACAATCGAGGATAATAGTTTCACAAACCTACGCGTACTCGCAAATACTGAGTGGTTCGAGGCATGCTTCTTAGGCAGTTCCCACCTTATTTAACGCGAAATTCTATGAGCAGTCTTATTTGATTGATGATCCTTTTATAATTCTCGTATAATATTATTATGATAACACGGTAGTCCAGCGAAATGCCTCTTCCAATGAGTTTTACGCCGACACTTAAAACCCTATAAGAATCCTTACCTATCCCTACTTATTAGCTGCATCAAATTTAACCGGTATCTTGACATGCAGATGTCGGCAGTATTAAACACTTTGCATCACACTGTCATTCCCCGCTGTTATAGACACGCACCGAACCCGTGCTTCCGATGAACTGTCTGTTGAGGAACGAGAAAGGTTTCAGGATTATGTTCCCAATGCTATACAGAAACGTTGAGATGCTATGCTAGTTCCTGACTAACATAAAGCCTGAAATGTCTCATCGATTCCGCAGAATCCTGAAAAACACGTGTTCAACTGTTCAACTATCTCTCTCATACCTTATCCAACTCCAACTGTAATCACATGGTCCACAATTTTGTGATGTATTGAGAAATATCAATGAATTACAGACTAAAGTTCAGTTCGAGAATCTAACTTTGCAGATATTTGATTTGTCACACCTAATTCTGAAAAACATCTTGAACAATTTAAAGATGCAATTTTCGACAGCCGCTACATGTACATGCGTGCACAACTGAGTCATTGTTATCTGATTACAAAGGGAGGCACAAAATAACTTCAGAAAAATAAAGACATAATCCCCACCCGTCCTGATTTAGTGGAATAGGATTTTTGTATTGAACAAATCAGATAATGTCGAGAAACAAACAAACGTACTATCAGACAAATGCCAAATTCTTCAAATCACCCAACTGGAAAGAACAGAAAACCTCCTTGCATAATTACTGAAGAAAATGAAAGAAAATTCAATCATGACATAGATGAATGAACAAACAAAACCATGCAGTTCAGTTTATCCCGAGACAATATGGATTGTCTGAGGTGCATAAGAAGGATGTCCCACTTCGGAATATTATAGACATGGTGTCTCAACTCCCCATATCATCAGATTGCGGAGTGGTTAGCAGATATCCTTGAACGGGCAAGGAGACATATGACAAAGTTATAGCCTTAATGATATATTTGACTCTACTCCTCCAATTAACAAAAATTTTGGTATTCTATCCAAAATTTCTGATGTCTGACACAAAAATGACTACATAGTTCTACCCTCCATAGAGCTAAAGAGACAACATAATGCTGAAACATTCCACGATTCCATCTTCAAACGCAGGGCGGACATATTTATAAATCGATAAATTCATAAATTCCATTCAGGTACACGCGCACACACACACACATGGTAGGACAAAAAACGATCGGAGTTCAAACAGACCCGGCAAAAATGAAAGGAGTGACGTTCATCAAGCATGTCTGAACCACGGGAATCCTAAGGTGTTGTCAGTTTCTGAAAGACAATTGACACTCCTCCCAAACAGGCGCCACTCACTGGATGCAAGTCACTCTATGCGACTATCGAAACCAGACTCATCGCACATCTGGAGCCAGAAGAGACCAGATTTCACATGTGTACCTAACCAAGCGTTGTAAACACGAATTTTGACGACCATACTAATTTAGTGACAGCATTATAAAGTATTCACATTGGCCGACGTTCCCTTGGCTTCAGCTAAGCGATTGGAAATTTAATTTTTGATTACAGCTTGATTCCACACTGTATTTTTGGTACAAGTATGGAATTTTCAGCGTGGATATCGGTAGCCAAAATTTCGCAGGCCGACCATAGATATCAGGTGTGCGTCGGCGTGTGCTCGAACCCCGGACCATGTGCATGGTTGGCCACTGTGCCACCGACGCACATGTCATGTGTTACTCACACATAACGAACTTCACAATTGCTTCTGACAGTTCACCTGAAAGATGAGTGCAGACACTATTGTTTCTTTAAATTTTACTCCTTCGCGTTCCTAATGGAACATAAGGCTTCAAGCTAGAGCTTTGAAGTTACGATAGCAGTTGTTGCATTTTTACGGAGTGGAATTGCTAGCCTCACGCCATACCTTCCCTCTTTACCAGGCTTACTACCGGCTTAGTGAGGTTCATTAGTGCATCGGCCGGGAATCGAACCTCGGACGCGCCGAGCGTGATTGACGACCATTCTCCGACTGAACCACCTACTGTGCGAACACTGGCTTTTGTTAATATTGCGAACAGTTCAAGAAGACATGCCAAACTTACAAATCTTGACCACCAACAAATGATTAATTACTCTATTTAGGTATCAGATATTTGGACGTTGAATTAAGGCAAATTCTTTGAGTACACCATATCTTAAATTGGCTTTACAAGTTTATTCACTGATTTAACCTCTAAATGTTAACAAAATTTAAAATGTTCCCTGTATATATATTTACAGCATGTATGCACATTCAAAATGAAAGAGAAATTACACATAGAGAAGAGTTTTAATTTGAAATTTACACTCAATGGAATGTTAAATGCACGGATCACAAATGCCATTCGAATTGAAAAATGGTTTGGATCGCATTGATTTCATCTTCTACGGCGTCGTTTATTACCTGCACTGGTAGAAGTAGATTCAGAAGGTTGATCACTTCGTAGAAAGTTACATAATAGACTACGACCATTCTCATCAGAATTTTGATATAATCGAAACAACAGGCAAGGTGGTGGAGCAGGCAGAAGGTGATCTTCATCAACACTTTCATTATTTCTAGTGTCATATAGACTGGGACCAACATTCTGTGACAGTAGACTATTCTCATGACTAGTTGATGCATTACTTTCATTACTGTCATCACTTGTGACTGTAGGAGGAGCAGGTTCCTGTTGAGCTTTCGACAGCTTTTCATTATATGAATAACAATTCAAGTCTGAAGATTGATTTCCGTTCGTTGTATTTTGTAAACCAACCATAATACGATTACGTAATTCTGCAGGAAGATGTTCAGGATTCATTGGACACATTTTTTTATGACTGGGTAAAATGCACAAGCGACCGATAAAATCGCATCCTAGAGAACGCCAAGGACATGATACCTGAAATTAAAATAAACTAAAGTAGATGAATAGAAAGAATAAGAATACGGCTACTTCAAAATTTTAATCCTTAAGCTTACAATCCTCCGCCCCTGTTCACAAATCAGAACGCAAAGGAATTAATTGTCTAACAAACAATTGACGACACAGAATACAGTGTAGGTGTGGATGGGAATCAGTTGCAGCATAACGAACAGCGAGACGAAACAATAATTGACTGTATTCAACATAGAACTTGACACAGATGTATGGCGGTTCGAGTTGCTACAGTCCCTCCTTTGCATGCAGCACACGAAGCAAGAGAAGACACGCTCAAAAGAGATAATAAACACTGGTGTGGGTGAAGGAAACGGAACAGTAATATGGAAGGACGATGGAGTTTATTGGATATGATATATCACACAAAGAGTGAATTCATCTGCGCTGTCATTGAGAATGATTTTGAACCATATTGAAAATTTCCTCCAACCATTGGTTCTTACCGTTGCGAGGACCTCCAACAACCAAGCATTCTACGCGGCCATATGTGGCTGGCTTAAACTAACTGTTGTGAATTTGATTGACTGATGAAGCCATGTTTTGGTTTGACCACCCATTAGCTCCTTTCCTGCCTCTTGATCCATCCTATGTCAGCTAACATAAGCACATCGGAAAATGCGATGGCTAGGCGCGCATGCGTAATACATGTTCTAACTATCTCAACCAATATACCTTCACAACCTGATGGACCGATGTTTGCTCGTTTCCAAACGCACGACACACCTAACTTCAATATTATTCCTCACTTCACCGTATACACTGATCATAGAATGCAGTTACTTATGTATTATTGTTATTGCTCCCTTGGGTACCTAGTGGAACATAGGGCTTCAACTGCACGTCTCCACTTGCTTCTGTCTTCTGCTGTACTTTTCACCTGCATCCATGTTAGTCGTTACTGTTTCAACTCCTCTTCACACAATCTCCTCCATGTCACCCCTGCACTGACGACCCATTCGCCGCTTCCCTTTCGGGTTCCACGCGCGATGACACCCAGCGGCCTCCTCAGCGAGTGTCCAATCCATCTCCCTCGGCCAATAACTGCTACCTTGTCGTGGTGGTCGGGCTTGAATACCGTAATGACCCGACATGCTAAACTGACTGGGACTCTGTCCCTGCAGGTCCTACCATGTCAGGAAGGTTTTCTGGATAGCGGTTAAACTAAAAGCAGTTACCATGGGGTACATGGGCTCCAGTATCCAATCGGATCGAATGGCGTATGAACCCATATGGGTCACCGGAAACCATGGGAATGCAGCTCTTGACGCTGCTCCGCTGCCTTGCGGATTAGACTTCAAGTCAAAGGCTCGGGGGTGGTCCCTTAAGAAAACCACCTGCTTCGGTCTGGGCGCCCGGGCAGTATCTCAACCCTCACACAATGAATTGAATGAAGCAACAAATAATCAATGAAACTTATCGCGTGCTATTACACTTGTTGCTATTTCCTTCTTTCTTCCCTTCCCGATGATAGTTAACTAATACTGTTCGCACTTGTTAAGCATGACTGTTTTCCTTCCAGATGAAGTTTTCTTATCCGTTCTCTGCTTATATATACCTTTTTCTCTTCTTTCTTTTTTTCTTTTGATCTATGTTGTTTTATTATTATTGTGTGGCGCATCCTTCTTGGTGCCATATTGTACCACGTTTTTATGCGTTTAAATAAATAAGTAACAAATAAATATAGTCCATCTGCACTTTCGCCTGCATATTTGTTGGTTGGCGATTGGTTCTTGTTTTGTTTGCTCCCATAATTTCTTGTTGGTGATTCTTTCCGGTCCGGCCATCTGATCTTCAGTATAGAGCCAGCGAAGACAGTTGTTGATTAAGATCTCCATGCATCAGGCTGTTGGAAATATTCTTTGTGACCCGCCTGCCAAGTTTCTCATCCGTTCCGTATAGAAGAATTGACTGACTTGACGTTTGTATTGAAAATCCGACCGAATTTTGTTGTTGATGCTGAGTGAAGAAAACTTCCAGATTGGTTTCAGGTTGATGAGTGAATGTGTTTCTCGCTCGCCTTCCCGATTCTCGCTCGTTTTGACATCCTCGTCCGTTCCGACTGCCTGTAGTTGAGACAATGCTCCCTAGATAAGTGAGTGAATGAAGTAACCTCTTTCAAATTCCTCTCGTTGATGGTGATTGACGCTGTATGTTGCTGCCATTGCTGTTGTTGTTGTTGGTTATTTTCATAACCTCCGTCTTGTCTATGTTCACACGGAGTCTTGTCTTTGCTGCTTCCTCGACCCGGTTACCTATGATCAAAGGTTAATTCCATCATACCCGGTCGATAACTGCTACTTTGTCGTGATGGTCGGGCTTGAATACCGTAATGACCCGACATGCTAAACTGACTGGGACTCTGTCCCTGCGGGTCCTACCACGTCAGGAAGGTTGTTTGGATAGCGGTCAAACTAAAAGCAGTTACCATGGGGTACATGGGCTCCAGTATCCAATCGGGTCAAATGGCGTATGAACCCATATGGGTCACCGACAGCCATGAAATCCAAGTCAAAGGCCCGAGGGTGGTCCCTTAAGAAAACCACCTGCTTCGGTCTGGGCGGCCGGGCAGTATCTCAGCCCTCACACAACAAATGAAATTTAGTGTGGTGCATCTTTCTTGGTGCCACATTGTACCAAGTTTTTTTCTGCATTTAAATAAATAAATATAAAATAATTCCATAACATAATTGGTTCAGTCTGGATATAAAATCAAATTTAGCACATTCCCCAATGAAACAATGAAGTCACAATGTAGGTTGGCATCAGTGACCATCTTTATCATCAGTAAGTAACGCGACTACTAACACTTGTGCACTTATATCGTGAGTGGATTTTCTTCCACTTTTTTCTCATAAATTCCTTCAGTTGTACATTTTATTAGCAAATGATTACTTGAAAAAGAGAGTATAAACGAATGCCAACGATACTCTCACCATACGTACAATGACTTACCATATATTCGCCTATTATATTTTCAACTATAAAATCATGGTGCATGGATCCTTTTGGGATAGGCAGACGATCAACCGGACAGGTAGGCGAGTCACGAATCCACGGATCGATACACTAAAAACAAAGACGGTGAAAAAAACACACTAAAAAATTCTATATATTAGGAAATTGACTACATTCCTGTGTGTTTAATGAACATTTCCATTTTATGGATTAAAAATCATTATGAAGAATTTGTTTTGTTTTCATCCATGTACTGGCATTTATTATTATTATTACGGTATGAGGACAAGTGAATGTGCCTCCCATGAGTAATGATTAGCCCAATTCTCTCTAATTTCACTTGAATTTTTCGGTTCCACTGAATTACAGATGAATAGAACAAATAAATCACTGACTGGTTTCAACAGAGAACTTGGCACAGATGTACAGTAGTTCGAGTGAGTTGCTACACTCCCTCCATTTAGTACACAAGGCAAGAGAAGATAGTTAAGAGAGATTCAAACGAGAGATGCCAAACAGAAGTGTGAATGGGGGAAGAAGAATAATAAGCACAAAAAGCCTTCCTGATCATCATTCTCTTGTGTACCTGTCACCCCCTCCCCATCCTTTTGCTTCCCTACTACTGTCAGTACTATTCTGCAGATAGGTATGTATAATGTATCAAGTTATCCTAGTCACCCTGCAATGCTATCCGCGTATATTTATTGATACTACATCTCAAGGCTCTAAAATGTGCAGTCTCTGTAAGCACGTTGTTTGTTTTCTACTACGAACACTCTTAGTTGATGAGTCCCATTATATAGGACAAAATGTGTACTGCTAGTTACCACTAGCCAGATACAGTCGTTAGTTTCTTTATTCATGTATAAACAAATATAGTTAAAGTGATACTTAGACAACACTTACACCTTTGCAAAATGAATGGCCACATGGTGCACGCTGAGGATTAGAAAATGCCTCCTGGCATATAGGACAGAAGACATGCAGACTGACAGCTGATGGGTTAACGAAAGACCTATAGGTATTTATTTTATTTCATTGAAAGTGGCTACCTTTCTTCAGGAGCTGGTTCAGAATTCTTTTGAGCAGCACATTTCGTCGAGCGTCTACGTACCATTGGTTTAGATTCCAATATGTGTTTGTAGACTTTTCGCGCTAAAATAAAAAAACGGAAGAGAAATCGTAATTATTTTAAAATCATTGAGTGTCTATACTTGATTCGTAGATGCTTTGAAACACGCTGTTTAGCATAAGTGTAAAACATGGGCACTGTGGTAGGGAAGAATTAGTTTTCCTTACAGATTTAGTCCGTCCTCAATACTGACGACACAGAGTCTCGGCTTAAATATAGTTAAAAACAGATTAACTTGACTTAAACTTTATCTGTTTCTAAAACATAAAATAAAGCGTACAATCACACCAAGAAAAGCACAAATCCATTGTAACTCAAGAAAAGACAAAAACATACCGAACAGTATTGAACGAACAGACAAAATGAACAGTTAATTAATTACATATAGACACCATAGAGTGACAGGAAATAAAGTAGATTCAAGGTCACATCACGTGGTGAGAGTTACATTAAATTAGCCAATAATCGCGACAAAGGGTCACATAGTATCGATTAGCTGTCCGTTAAACCATCTATCTACCTGTCAGGATTAACACTCCCCGCGAACGATCACCACGTTGACTTGTCGTATCTGGAACCTTCAAATTGTCTGCCTTCTTCCAACAAACATAGGCTTCTTATATCCCGTTCGACTTATTGAGTTGCAGTTTTCATACGCACCGTCCTGACGCAGCCATCTTGGTCATAGTACACCTGCTTAACTATAGCCTTTGCCAGAGACCTCTCTGTGTCAGTACTGTTAACTAGGACGAGATCACCAGGTTGTAGGTTACGCTTTATATCCAACCACTTAGATCTTGCTTGCAGCATCGGAAGATATTCACGTAGCCACCTATGCCAGAATAAATCAGTCAAATGTTGTGGTAGTAGTTGACTATAGTGTTGGAAGAAAGCACACCCATCTTTAGCATTCGCTTTACCTTTGTTGTATCGTAACTTTCCTAAGAATTCACCCAATGCTGAACGAGTCACAGTTGAAAGTCTTTTACGACCAAAGATTATACACAAATCAGGTGCATCGTCCTCACCGACTACTTTATCTATTGCAGAGGAAAGGTTTGAAAACTTGCTGTCATACGTTTCTCCTGGTTCACAGCAACCTTTCACATGATCTCCATTTATGATATCTTCAGTAGTTTTCGTGTGGAGATTTCGTTTTCCATAACAATCACGCTAAAACAGTTTACCAGAACCATATCCCAACAGTCCATGAAGTCCAACTTGTAATACAAAGGAACTTTCAGCATGTTTCACATACATTTGTTTGTCTTCATCACGTAGAAATTCTGTTTTAGGATCCTTGAAACGAGCACTAAGTACATTACCCAAAGAAACACTTTTAAATTCATCAACTTGTCGTACGTCATCATAGTCAGGAATATTAGTTCCAACAGGAATTCCAGAAGTTTCAAACGTCACTACATCCAAACTAGTAAAGTCTGGCTGTAAGAAATTAACTTTTTCAAATGTAGAAGGCCATGGTAAATTTGTTAACAACCTTTCAGCATTATTTACAAGTCGTTGGAATTTTGTAGACACTGATCTATTTACAACAGCGACAAATGATTCAAACTTTGCATGAACGCCAAAGGGATCACGGTATGACTCTATAAACCCAATGTTGTTTTCAACAACAGTGTTCTGATCTTTAACCCATAACCTGGAGGCCTCTTTATGAGTGGCTACTTAGCCATTAGTGAAGCTCTCAGCATACTGATGTCACATTTCTGATTCGATTTGGTTAAGCGAATGTGCTTTAGAATTTTTACAACAATCGATTAGTAACTACATCAGCTCACTATGGTCACCATATTTAAGCTGTGAAGATGTGTCCGAGGGAAGGGCATTATAAAATATGGGTTGGACAGATTTCTCAGCTGACGCAGACCGAAGGGAGTAAACCTTTGTTTTGCAGTCGGCATTTTTGAAAGGTCGTGTATTACATGGTTCGGTTTTTATACTTTCCACGTACCTTTGAATTAACTCAGCATCACTACGATTACAGCTTGCGGAGTAGTAAGTTGTTATTTCATTTGTACCGAATCCAAGGCGTAAAGGATAGGAACTTAATGAATATATTGCAGGAGCTACTTCTTCCCACGAAGCCTTGAGACTTGTCTCTGGATTAGAAAATGTGCTATTCACTGATAGAAGCTCTGTTACTCTACTCAAAGTAATAGCTGGAACGAACTTAGTAGCTTCAAGAGACAAGTAATTTCCAAAGTCACTTAGAACTGGTGCAAGGTACGGTAGCAAGTGGTTTATCTCCTCCTTAGAAAAGTTCTTCTTTTTCGCTTCTTCAGTGAATGAATACACATCTCGGGACCTGAATCGATAAATAAATAGGAATATTCCAGCAGATTCTGGGGATGCTTGAATTAAACCAATCAGACCACCAACCCATGATGCTTGTGTGCAGCTGAAGACATAATCTTTTACACTTTTACTAAGTGAACGGAATGCATCAGTTACGTCAAGACAGTGAACAGGAGATGGGACATCTACATAGAAGTCCATAATACGGGAAAGAACAGGTTGCTTTGATGTTCTCAATAAACTAACAGAACTGAAGTAACGTGCTGCTGGCCGGAAGATGGACTGAAGTGGATAGAGGTAAACCATGCAATAAATCACAAGAGTAAAACCGTGACGGTGTGGCAAGTGCCAAACCTGTCCATTAACGTGATCTTCTTTGACCATTTTAGCGAAACCTCTTTCAATGTGCTGAGACATTACATTGGTATACTCTTTATGCAGGTCATGGTAACGTTGGGCTATCTTTGATTTTCTTGGATAATAGGAGCATCGAAATGACCTTCTACAGCAAACGTGTCAGCCTGGACTTTGAATGCATCTATACGTTCACGATGAGCAGCTACATCAGATTCAAGCAAGTTGTGCCGCCTTTGTGCGTTCATCACACCGCTTAGATCACGACCGACATCCTCTGAGGCTATCTGAGCTTCAACATCACTCAACCATAACTCAACATCTACGTTGCGAACGAACTGTTGTTGCCTATTTGCTTGATCTAAATTTTTCTTCTTGTCTCCCATGGCATTTATGAGATGAGACCATGTTTCACCCAGTTGTTCAATCTTTACTTTTATTTCTGAGAGGACCTCTTGCTTACCAATCCAAGATTCCGAATGTTCAGCGTCGCGGTAAAAATACTGGAGGCCCATACACTGTTCTAGCTGTTCACGTCTTTCCTCACACAACTGAATCAGAGAGGTTCTCTCTCTTTCAAGAGTGGAAAGTTTAGCAGCTATCTCTCCACTACAGGGATGGCCAACACTTATTAATGCCTGACCTTCTTGCATGCATGTATCGAAACTGTCAGCTCGAGAATTTATCTCAGCGGTGTATTCCTTATGTCGCTTTACTTGGGCTTCAGCACCAGCTACGTCCTTTGCCAGATCATCCGCCGATATTAACGCTTTCATGTCATTCATCCAGATACTCAAGTCTCTCCAGTCAGCCAAAAAGCGATGCATCTTGAATGACTCATCCAGTTTACCTCTCCTATCTACAGCCTGACCTTTCAGCTTCTCCTATGTAGTAATTAAGGCGTCACACTTGCCTTGTATAGTGTCTTGCGACTCAGGATGCTTCTGTGCAAGCACCTTAGTATCATCTCCAAGTTGAACAATCTTTTCATCTAAGGCAGTCAAATCCCTTTCTAATGCTTCGTGCTTCCTTTTTAAGGCCTGGACTGAGGCAAGATCACGACCACAGTCCTCAATGGATAAAGGAATGGACCTTTCATTCACCCACGATATAGCTTTATCTGTGTCTCTAAAGAAGCGCTGTATCTCATAGGCTTCCAGAAGCTTTTTTTGTCGTTTCTTAGCCAGATCCTTCAGACGCTCTAGAGCTTCGCGGACCTCTCTGGACTCTTCTATGACTAGGGAATCCTCAGGAAATTCCTCTTTTAGAAGTTCATCTCCCTTCCAATAGATGTCTTCGGCACGACTTTCTTGATACTCGAGATGTTTGTAAACTCATCAAACCTTTTTTGAAGTGTCTCAACATGTTCCAAGTCCTGACCTAAATCCTCTGATGTTACGTAAGTTTCTTTCTCACGTATCCAGAAGAGTATCTCGTCAACTTGGCGTAGAAAGTGCACAAATTTAAGCTTAAGGTTAATAAGACGTGATTTTTCTCTGAACATAGCCATAAGCCCTGTGTGAGAAGTAGGGGGTTTGTTAGGCGACTTATTGTGACCAGAACATTTGCGATTAGCTTGTCGTAAACTTTCCAATTCAGCTTCTTTTTCTATTTGGACTATGCGCAGTTTCGCTAGCTCCAACTCTGCAATATAGCGTGACTTATAATCGTTGCTTCCAGGGGCATAAACAACACCACTCCTTTCTGACTTTGGAGTTAACGTCTGCATAGCCTCGTATTTTTCGTCTGCCATTACTGTTCGAAACCTTGTAGGATTAGTTTTGCCTACAAATTTAGTCCGTCCTCAGTACTGACGATACAGAGTCTTGGCTCACCTATAGTTCTTGCTTTGCTTCAAATCACGAAAAATACCCATTGAGTCACGAAGAAAATAAAAGACAGATTCAGCGAAGAAAATTTTCTTTATCGACGAAATCATCTTCAGAGGCTGTACAGCCGTATTTATACTTGGAAAAATGTATAGTGCTCCATTATTGAGTAATAGGGGGTGACATAATTGATATAATTAATCATAAGTGGCTTTAGAAGTGAAAATTAAAAGTTGAAAATTACATGGTACTCAACGGAACAAAGATAGAAGTTTGATAGGGTTAAAATTGCTCTTGAGTGGGAATAAAGGTATTTGAGTGTCAATTAAACAAGTGTGAAGAGGGTGTGAAAATATACAAAAGGAGCATATGAAACTGATAATAGTGAATTAATTATTAAAGCAAAAGCAAAATAAAAGTAAAATTAAAAATTAAGAACAAAAGAAAACATCAAAAATTCTTTTACACGGAACGATTTGTGAAGAGGTTAAGACCAAGGTAGAATAAGAGACTGGATACTTTTTCTGGCGCTAGCAATTCATCAATACAACCCTAAACTCTGTATACAGAAAAAGTTTGTCCAGTCTCTTATTCTACCTTGGTCTTAACCTCTTCACAAATCGTTTCGTGTAAAAGAATTTTTGATGTTTTCTTTTGTTCTTAATTTTTAATTTTACTTTTATTTTGCTTTTGCTTTAATAATTAATTCACTATTATCAGTTTCATATGCTCCTTTTGTATATTTTCACACCCTCTTCACACTTGTTTAATTGACACTCAAATACCTTTATTCCCACTCAAGAGCAATTTTAACCCTATCAAACTTCTATCTTTGTTCCGTTGAGTACCATGTAATTTTCAACTTTTAATTTTCACTTCTAAAGCCACTTATGATTAATTATATCAATTATGTCACCCCCTATTACTCAATAATGGAGCACTATACATTTTTCCAAGTATAAATACGGCTGTACAGCCTCTGAAGATGATTTCGTCGATAAAGAAAATTTTCTTCGCTGAATCTGTCTTTTATCTGACTCACAACACCCTCTACATTCACAACTCTCCCCATGTATCTCTTCAGGGAAAACCAGAAGCCTATATAGGAAACTATATGCCCGCACTAGTAAGTACAAAAACTCATCCATACCCTACTTAGCTCGTGTTCTGCGCGATAAAGAAAGCATTAGGCGTGAAACCTTTAACTTATTAAATAGTCAGTAGAACAAATGGATCTCGTCTTTCCAAGTCACATCATTTACAGGTACGATGTTTTCTCTCTACTTTCTTTTTTTTTTAATATGCTAGTAGTATCTACTTTTCTAACACCTTCAAACACTCTGTTTAAATTTTGGCTCTGCTACCTACATGATAATGTGTTGTTGTCAAAACTGACTGAGATAACCTTAATCTATGTAGAATTATATATATTGTTAATGTACTAACTGGATGCAATATTGTAGTAAAATGCTGAGAATTCCATTCTGTATAACAAGTACTGATTTGGAATAAAGCTTATCTTTTATTTTCATCTTAACTATAGTTAAAAACAGATTAACTTGACTTAAACTTTATCTGTTTCTAAAACATAAAATAGAGCGTACAATCACACCAAGAAAAGCACAAATCCATTGTAACTCAAGAAAAGACAAAAACATACCGAACAGTATTGAACGAACAGACAAAATGAACAGTTAATTAATTACATATAGACACCATAGAGTGACAGGAAATAAAGTAGATTCAAGGTCACATCACGTGGTGAGAGTTACATTAAATTAGCCAATAATCGCGACAAAGGGTCACATAGTATCGATTAGCTGTCCGTTAAACCATCTATCTACCTGTCACGATTAACAGGTAGTAAGTAATTCAATATTATTTTGATTATTAGATGTATCACACACTAAGTGTGACCGTATTATATACTGGATGACGTTTCAAACAAAATATATTGTTCATAATCATATCAATGAATCATGATCACACGACTTCGAAACTTGAGGTTTGTAGTTTTCTTTGTCTTCTATTTGTCGTAGGGGTAGAATGATTTTCCAGATATCTGGGACAGGTGTTGAATCATTCTTATTACACGTATTTGCAGATGACTAGATAAACAAAGCTTCTGCTAAATTATACGGAAGAAACTTCACGAGAAATGTTCTTACAACAAGAAGTGTCGACAGGTTAAATTGCGTACATGAGAAGCAACAGATATTGAAGAAAGAAAGACGACATTCATGAAAGTACATAAAAGGGATACCTTGAAACTAAAGTTATCAAAATCTATAGGGGAACGGGAAAATGGGCGGTATAAAGGAGAGGAATAGTCAGAAAATTCAAACATTTTCTGGCGTGTTTATAGTCTATTTTCCATATTTTATGTTAATTCTTGTTTACATGTTATCTAGTGAAACGTAAATTCAGTAGTCATTGTGTATCTAAATTATGCAGTGAATTTTAAACTTTGAGACAGTCAACTTTTTCCAGTACTTGTAAGCGCAAAAAATAGATAAACATATAACCACATGAAAACCTTATTTTATTCTAATCATATCAGGTGATCTTGGCGGAAAACTGTTAGATCAGGTGGTAAAATTTGCATTCGCCGGTGATCAGGTGGCATTAATGTTGGCGGACATAGATCCATTTCAAGCTTTAATTCCTGGTGATTTAATTACTGATCCCGATAATCCCATTCCTCCGGCCACATGTATATTAGCCAAATTGTTAGTATTCGCTATACGACAGCCTATTACTAGAGGTTACCCTGTAAGTGTTATTGATTCCTTGTTATTATTATGGTGAAACATTTTTGTGTTTGATATATTTTCTATCTGATTTCACTACCTGAAATATTGTTTTTCTGGTCACTTCGAAGTTTAGGAAACGGAAAGTGTGTATATTGTTCTTGTTACCCCGAAGCTTTACCATTGTCATACTGTTTCGTCTTGAAATCTGAGTGAATTTCATTTTTCATCAGTTATGCAGTGTGCTTGTGGACGTCAATTCACATGGAGTTAACAAGCTTTCTTGTACGCAATATATAGGTGCAAAGCTTCTTACGAACTACTTGTATTCACGTAACTTTGAGGAGAAAGTTTTTATCAATCAACTCATGAAAACCTTTGTACAGAAAACAAGTTTTGTATTTTATATATTACAATTATGTCTTGGTGTTGGTATTGATTAGGAAAATTGAGTCACTCAATAATTCATTTCATTTTATTCCTTTACGTTCCTAGTGGGACATAGGGCTTCAAGTTAGAGCTTTGAAGTTTCGGTAGCAGTGGTATTTATTTTCATGGAATTGGGCTGCTAGCCTCATGGTCGACCTTCCTTTATTATCAGCCTTATTACCGGTTTAACGAGGTAAAAGAGTGCGTCGACGGGGGATCGAACCCGAATCACATGCGTAGTTGGCGAGCATTCTAATGCTGTGTCACCGACGCACTAAGTTTTGGCAACCATTTTTATTTTGTACATTAGATTGGTAGTCGATCTCTGTATCCTTTATTATTTCACCGTCAATCGATTGTTATGATTCAGATGGTGAAGAAGCTTCTTATTTTTGCTACTTTCACATATATATATATATATATATATCACTAATACTAGCTTTAAATGTGTATTGTGACTGGTTGTTCATGTAATAAGAGTAAGAAAAGTTTCATACATTTGGTTCCCTTGATTAATTTTGATAGAGAAAGAAAGACTACATATGCAGTATAAAATGATATCACTCTAATTCACAGGTTCTCATCAGCTGCAAACTACCTGAAATTACAATGGTTATAAATAATAACATTTCATACTTTATTGTTTGAAAGGTAATAGAGAAGAAATTATAAGGTGAACGCATCTGGAATATAAGTATTATAATCTAAGTCACCATCAATTTATGTACTATCAAACTATGAAAGAAGAAAAAAGGGGGGTGAGGGAAGACAGAAAAATCTAACAAATAGTGTCAACATGGCAACTCAAGAAGGTCAAAGTTCATCAATTTGAAAACTTGCTTAGTGAGTTGAGCTCACTAGTGTGTATGACTAATCAGTGTAATGAAAGTGATATGGTTACCAAGGGAGTGAGAGATTGACCACACTCTCTTTCTGTATGCATAAGTTTGGTCTGTGACGTTTGATTGCAATTGCTTCAGCAAACCGTAGTAGATTCGCTGTCCTTTGTATGTTTAATATTTTGAAGGATTTAGAAATCTCGACAAAATGACCCGTATCCACAAGGTGTCTGGTAATTGCACTTTGTAAATATCTGCTTCCCTTTAGGCATAAATTTCTTGGAATATGCTCTGAAAACCGGATAGAAGCCCTTCTTTCTGTCCTTCCAATGTACTTGCTGCCGCAGGTACACGTAAATTTATAAATGCAGTTGGAGGTAACATCAGCAGGGTACTTATCCAGTTTCGATTGCCTTATAGAGCATGTAGTACTGTATAGTGTCACCAAATTGGCTGCAGGGAAACATCTCTTTATTGCTCCCTTCATCCTCTTTTCAATCTTTTGAGATACGGTTTCTCCTTTGTATGGGGGGCAAATGAACACTTTCTTCTTCTCAACTGTTGGAGATTTCTCTTTCTCATCTCTTTCTTTGCTGTACTTTAGGATAAATCCTTTTGGATACCCGTTTTCCTTAAGGCATTTTTCAACAAAGCTTAATTCTTCTTCTACCTTGTTAGGCGAACATAACTTCCTGGACCTGTCGTATAGTGTCCTCACTAATCCTGCTTATAGCTCATAGGGCAGAAGATGTTATAATGAAGGTGTTGTCAGGTCCAAGTTTCTTTCCTGTAGCTGAACTTTTTGACCGTTCCATCGTTTCTTCTTTTTACATTTAGGTCGAGGAAATTGAACTCATCGTTGTGTTCGTATTCCATGGTGACTTTAATGTTGGGGTGGACCTCATTTAGGCGGTTAAATATTACGGATGCATGACTCACGTCGTTACAAACAACAAGAGTATCATCCACGGTAGTATGTTGTTCCATTGATAGCGTCACTCAGTCTTGTCTGTTCGAGATAGCCCATGAAGATGTCTGCTAGAATGGGTCCTAGGGGTGAACCCATTGCGACCCCATCAATTTGTCGGTAGAATTGGTCATTGAATCTAAATTGGATGTCTTTTGTGCAAAGAATTAGTAGCCAGTTCATCTCTGACTCCGGTAATGGCAAAAGATCTCTTTGCTTACAAATGATATCTATTGTTTCCATCACAGGTACATTTGTAAATAAGGCAGTCACGTCGTATGACACCATCAGTTTATCTGATATGTCAACGTGATCGACTTCTTTAGAAAATTGGAAGGTGTCATCCAAGCTATGACTTGAAAATTTTTGTCGACTTGGCTTCAATGAATCAGCTAGCCATCGGGCTAGTTTGTGGCATGGTGAGTTTGTCATCGATAATATCGGCCTTAAGGGCACATTGGCCTTATGGATTTTTGGTAGACCGTACATAAATGGGAGTCGTCCACTCTTTGATTTGAGTTCATTGTACGTTTTGTTGCCAGTCAGTTTCTTGATGAGTAGTTCTTTGAGGGATTTATTTACTTTATTTTCGAATGACGTTGTTGCATCCTTCTTGGTTTTGTCCACTTGGAATTTTCCGGAGTCATTAAGAATTGTCAACATTTTGTGAACATAATCAGTTTTATTCATTATAACAATTCCAGAGCCTTTGTCAGGTCTAGAAAGAAAAGTCTTGAAAATAATTTATATCTGACCCAAGCTTAACAATAGAGTTCGTATTCAGTTCTTACAATATTGCAGTGTTTTAAGCATTCGAGTGAAAAATCGTACCGTTTGTGTGTAGAAATGTTGTGTACAGCCGTCTCTTCCTTATTTAGTAAACCCACTTCATGATTACTGTGTATCATGTTTCATCTAAAAAAATTCTACTCTACAGTTTTAAATTCATAGTATGAGCAATGTTAATGCTTTTCAGTCCCTAGGTACTATATAGGTTTTGCCCTATGTTTATATTACCACTGACCTTTTATTATCGTTTAGTAAGATGAGAAATGAAGTGTTACTCAACAATTATTTCAATTTCCCTGTAGCTGGAAATGAGCCAGATATATTTTGTTTAGGATAGTGATACTATCTTCCTGTCTAAATGCTACTGGGTTTGAGCTCGTGATCCAGTTGCTGGAGGTCAAGGGGCCCCTAGACCAATGAGTGACAGCTCCAGAAGTTGTAAACATGAGCATAAGGTTCCTCATTGTTTTAAACTATTTTGTAGTCAACCATGACTACTATTGTTCACAAATTGAAATTTGTAAATTTTGGTGCATATTCAATCGTAATCTTTTCGCAATGGTATCATTTCAATATAGTTTTTAACTTCTGATTGTAGAACGATGTGATAGTGTGCCGTTTCCCTACCAGTAGTTCTTACATTTTACCTCTTCCTTTCTTAAGGAATTGCGTATGAAGTTTATTATGCTTTTAGAAATGATACTTTTACTTCTTTTAAATAAGTTTAGACACGATAAAGGTGTTCATTGCGTAAATAAGTGCTTATGTAGTGTCTGTTTCTATAAAGTGTTTACTGTACTCTGAAATCAATCTGGCTAAATTATAAGTATCATTACAATCCACTGAGTTTGCATTATTCTTCCCTGAAACTTTAAGATGGGGTGTCAGTTTTGTTAATTTATCAGAAAAATCTTTTTATGAAAGTACTTGATGTAGAACTTCGTACTACCTGAGAACACTTAATTCACGAAAGTGAATCCCAATGGCTGTTCATCTACTAATCTGAGAAGAGTTGTTCTTGTCTGTGGTGCCGAGCAATAACTTTACAGTGACCGCAATAGAAATCCTCAGCTGTCTGTAAAATAGAACTTTCCATGGAGTGTTTTTTTATACAATCGACAACCAATCAACCGTGCTAAAATTACCAAAGTTTGATCAGAAGGCAACTAGCTAGCACAGTGGGGTTAGTATCAATATATTCTAGTGCACAAAAACATAAATGCATTTAGCAAGATGGATTAATTATCCTGTGTGCGTCGGTGGCATAGCGGTTGGGACGCTCGCCGACTATGCACATGGTCCGGCGTTCGATCCCCAGCCGATTCACTCCTTTACCTCGCTAAGCCAGAAATAATGCTAGTAAAGAGGAAAGTTTGGGCATGAGGCTAGCAACCCCATCCTGTAAAATAAAAACACTGCTGCAGAAACTTCAAGCCCCACTAGCTTGAAGCCCTATGTTCCAATGGGGAACATGAAGGAAAAATTTGATTATCCAGTATGATCTCATCTCTTCATCATTCTCTCTGTATTGCGCATATGTGTGGTCATTAGAAGTCCTTATGAGGTTTGTAATTATGATATCATCATTATTACTACTTTTAGGTAATATACTATTACAATTGTACTAGTGTTGCAGCCAATATTACTAAACTGAAGTCTATGACTCACAAAGAAAATAAAGTGGAGAAGACTGTTAAAAAGCCAAGGTTAGTTATTTGTATACTGTTATTTTTGTGCTATGTAACTGTCAGTCTTTTCACTATCTGTGTGTGTGTGTGCTGAAACACGAAGGCTCGATTACCTGTTTTCTGTCTAAGGAACTCACAGTCATTATTTGCATTAAGATAAAGACTCTACGATGTGATGTAAAATGTGTAATACATTAATATTATGAAGGGATAAAGATGTCAGAACAGTAAAATCATTAGTTGTGTAAAATGCATTCCAAGACTAATTACATAATTTTCCCAACATAAAATTCATTAGACAATACTGAGTTTTACTTCAAGTCAAGACGTAAACAAGGGGCTTAAATCGAAGATATGTACTTCTTATGCAATTCAGCCGTTTTGTGGATGATCACTCTAATACAAATAAGTGTTTAGCACTACTTTTAAAACAGAGAGCTTATTGAAATCGTCGGTGATTGTTACTGATTTTGGCAGGACTACCTCCTTACATAATACAACTTCATGCAATTATCCAGGAGTGTGGCGAACCCGCCTGGATACTATGCCTAGCACAATTCCAATTCTTTAGAATGAGTGTTTCATACCTAAATCATTTATTAAATAACAGTCCTTTCAGGTGTCGGAAATCTTATGATCATGCTGTTTTTCAAATTTGGATAGTTATCGAAAATGCATTTTCGAGAAAGTTAGATGTCACAACTCTAGATCACAACTGCTCTTAGGGTATAGTTATGCATTCGACGTTTTGCATAAATGCTATTGATAATACAGCGAAGGTGATGTCTGATATCCATCAGGTGGCATTAAAAAGTCAGCTTGGTCTCTGGTTACACCATGTACATTTGATATTTGTGCTGACAAAAATGAAGCTATATTTTCATCATCAACGAAAAGATATTTTCAAAAGAATAGTTACTGAACAAAGAGTACCCTTTTGATAAATTCATCATCAGGCTCTACATTTAAACATACATTATAGTGAATGAATGAATTAGTGTTATGAACGACATTAATGTTTAAATAACATCGAATCAATAATATTGATAGAAACTTCATACATTTATTCCCCTTAATGAATTTGAACAAAACAAGAACTACAGTTTTAGCAGAATAAAATGGTATCATCTTTTATTTCGTTGCCTTCTCGTTAGCTGTCAAACCTTGAAAGAACAAAGTTGAAGCATGCAATCGACGAAACATCTTCCTACTGTTGTTATGTTGATGACACATTTATAGTGTGCAAAAATGAGTCATGCTTCACAGTTACTAAGATATAATATAGAGAAGGATTCATCTACGCCGACTTTGTGGCCTGTTTGCGCCAGATGGTCCAATATCGAGCTGTTAATAGTTTTCACTACACCTTTACTTAGCCATGTTGGGAGATGTTCTCGTGCACGAAAAATCAAGTTCCTAGAGCAACGGCCAATATAATTGGCTCCACAAGCGCAGTTGAATTGATAGATACAATTTGAAGTGGCTAGTCTAGGTACTTCATCTTTCAGTCGAAGAATCACCATCGGTCGTGTAGAGAATAAGACGTGTAGTTCGCCAGCAGTAAAAGTTCTTTGAACTGATTTTCTTAATTTCTTCGCAACTACGCGTCTTATTCTCTACACGACCGATGGCGGTTCCACTAATTCATTCATTCACTATAATGTATGTATAAATGTAGAGCCTGATGATGAATTTATCGAAAAGAGTACTCTTTGTTGAGTATCCATTCTTTTGAAAAATTTAATGAACATTTTAAATCAGTTAAAAAGATATTTCCTTTTCGAAAAGTTTCTCGAATTGTGCAGGTTTTCGTCCGAAGGTTCCTTCGTTCTCTTGTTTTTTTTCGGTTAGATTAACATGATACAATATTAAAATTAGACATTGAGTGTTAGCTAAGGAGACGGCAATCGAATGACGTGACTAGGATATTTCGCACACCAAACCAGTTCCTTCAATGAGCAGTAATAGGATTAGGTTACATAACTGTTAGGGCTTGTCGTGCCAAGCCATGAAGTGATAGACTACTGGTATGAACTACACTAAAAATGTTCACGCATTACATCACTGAGATGTGTTAGAGGTCATACCATGTGTACAAATCAGGATATTTTGGGAACCTAAGCTATTCACGGTTATTGATGGACTGTTGAAATCAGTGTTTTGAACAGATAGGCTTCTCACGATAGTTTATCGAGTTAGTGTTCGTCGACATAATAAACAAAGTGTTTTGTTTTTGTCTGGATTTTATAGCCTATACGTTTGGTAATATAATTTAATTTGTTAGTTTCGAATCGACAGTTTACGTACCTGACTAGACTGGTTGTACTTCAAAGTTACAACTTTTTTGTAAGACTTTCGTGAAAAACTGCTCTTGTTCTAGTATTCGCCCCTGATTTTCAGAGTTTTTCATCCGCTAATGTGTGAACACTTTTCTGGATATAATACTGTCAGACCTTTTTTAGATGTCTTTTGGGGAACTGTACAGCTGATGTAGTGTTGACGTTCGAAAGACCAATCTGTGTAGAAACATACGAAAAGTGTAAAGCTCTTGGGAGGTTTATGCTTCGTGTGGGCGGTGAATCAATAGCTGGCGGTACTGTTACAATGGTGGGTGAATTTCTTCTTATTCATGAAATTTATGCTTTCAAGTTTTTAAAAAGAAATTATTTTCATTGACATTATTTTCTCATCAATGTAGGAATGTACGAACTTTTCATTACTTTGTGCTAGTCCAGTTCCTTGTATTGTAACGTAATTTTGGTTTCGAATGCGACCATTGATCATTTATGCACTTATTAGAATGTCCAAATGGTCTGTGAGACATCAAGCGTCCTGTGCACAGGTTACTGCATCCTACTGTATTTAGTTGAAGAAAAAGCTAAATATGATCCGGTCAAGACATGCTACCTAACCACATAACTAGTCGATAAAACAATAATGTAGTATTCCAAACCTTTACCTTAAGCTGGCATTGAGAACAGTTCATGTTTCGTAGTAGTGTGCAAAATTTATGTTTGTCAGCTTTAAATTATGGGGTGGTCAGCATTGACAACGATATCGCATTACACTCATCCTTTATCTATTTCCATCCTGTAATATTTCTCTATATTTTTCGTAAACACAATGGCTCAGTTTTATTGCTTCAGGTATGGAAGCGTGGTGTCTCGTAGCACTGTGTTAACTTCGATGTCTAGTTTGACGCCACTGATATCAAGTTTCGAAGTATTGTTGTCAAGATCGATATGATTCCGAAGAAAAATTCGTTATCGAAACGTTATCCAGTAAATAATACAATTTTCCACATTGTGATATGTCCACTGAACCAAAATAATATCAAACCATCGAAACTCATTTTACAAGAAAACTTTCTTTATTTGCTGTGATGTGTTTTCATTAGTGTTAATTTATTTTGTCTACTGTTTTTTTCTTCTGCATACAGATACTTCCGATGACAAAAAATCGACTTATTGACGTGTAACAAGGCTTGAATTTTCGCACTGAAAAAAAACACTTGAAACATTTGCTATCTCTTAATGCCAGAATGTCTTTCATTATCTTTTTTGTGTTCTCTTGTGTTTTCCACTTTTGAAACAAATGATTAAATGCTAATTGTTTCTTTTTAGTCTTAACTGTTTTCGTTTCAAACCTGAAAAATTATTATCTTGTATTCAGGAATGTATTCAAACTGTGCTTTATTATTGTCAAATGGTTTAGATTTTCTAAAGGTTCGGGTGCAAACTTTTAGTCCAATGTGTTTGTGTATTACTTAAAATTGATGAAATACAACCTCACAACAAAGTGAATTCATTTCAGTTTCATTCAAGCGAATGGGGATATTATTTTTGAAGATAGTCAACATACGAAAGAGATGCAGATGTATGTTGTTTCCGGCATTCACAGAGGCGTGCTTGTAACTTATGACAACATCTCTAAGATGAATCAAGTGCTAAGTCACGATTTAAAAGGGACGATTAAGATATGACAGAAAAGATTGAGAAATATATTACAAAGGACCTGAGGGGAGTGAGTCGTAAAAGGGAAACTGATTGACAATGAAACCTACAGTAAACTAAGAGCGAAAGAATCCCGCATGCTTTTCAAATATCGACAGGCAAAACTACACAAGGACATACAAATGAGGCCAATCCTACATATGGTCACCTCTCCTCACTGGTTAGCTTAGAGGATAAGAACAGTTACCCATTTCCACCATAAGAGACTCCTCTATAGGAGACAATAAATAAATAACTAACCAACATAATGCCCATACGTTGCGTCATCTGACATTGAAGTATGTCTGTATATGGTGTCATGCAGATACAAGCGGTCCGAAACACTCCAACTTGCTTCTTTTGGCAGGAAAGAAAAGAAATGTCGTGGAGGGTTTTAGTGTGAACAGTACTGTGAGAAATGGCATGCAGTCAATTGTTATTATATTTCGAAATCCCCGCGGAATGAGTATTTTAGAATAATGGACGCCGATAGTTCTGTAGTGCATAGAATAGAGTTATTGTTATTATTATTATCAAGTTGTTATACTTGTCATAATATCAATCGAAAATAAATCAATGTAAGAATTAATAGGAGTATGGTGGACGAGAGCATAATCAGTGTTTGCTTGTGCTAAAAGCGGCGTTGACTGAATAAATCGGCATTACTGTGATCAATTTTCAGCTATAAAGCTTAAGTTTGGTGGCCATTGATTCGCAATAAATGGAATTTCGTAACCTGGTTATAACAGTAAACAGCCTAGCGGGATTATGTTTATGCGAGTTATGCAATGGACTTAATGGAAAGAAATCCTAATTTTTTATTCAGACGATGTTTCAATAAGGTGTATGGCTTTCTCAACTACAGAATGAGTAAATGGGTGAGTGAAACCGCCCATTTGGTAATATGTTCATTGGCTTAAGGACTACAATTACAACCTTTGGGCGTTCCTATAGAATCCTTCTCGAGCTGCTTCAGTCCTAAAAACTAGTAGGTAGTGTATTCAGGTCTATGTCTCTCTCTCCTACTCCTACATTCCTTTCGTCCCATAACATAGTAGCTACATGAAGGATGCCTTCCAGATGGTTGAATTCTAACTTCACTGGAGATTGCAGGAAAATGTGCACTAAACATTCCAGCTGTTATGGCGAAATTAAACAAAATAGTCCGAAGAGTTACTTCACATTCTTCCAATGTTATTTCACTTACGTCTTTTGACTGAGGCTTGGGCATGCAAAGGACTTGATAAAAACACCTGAGGTAAGATATCTGAAGGAGTAGTGATGGAGTGGAGTAATTCGTTTATCTGAAGAAGCAGACTCAGTTATTCGCTATTAAGAAGCGCCAACTCGGTGATGCGAATTTTGTTACCGAGAAAGTCATTCTTAGAGGCTGCCCTATCGTATTTAATAAAACACAGAGGAGAGACTCTTTCCGAGTATTTCATCTACTGCAGCTGCAATTGTATATGACTTTCTCATGAATTAATGCAACAGTTCTGCATTCAAAGGGCACAGCAACTAGCAGAATAAGTATAAGGATTACTGAGTATTGATTTGATACATAAACACAGTTTGAGTACTTATACGACCAATTATCAGATTTGGAACCTATGGATAGGGTTAAAAGTGGTTGGTTTAAGAAAACAGCAATTAACCTAGGGGATTATGTTTATGGGGGTCATGAAATGCACTTGGATTAGTGGAGTGGGTTTCAGCTATAAAATCGTAATTTTGAATAAAACGACGTTCATTATCAACAAGTAATTCGTCTTAAACCAAACTCCAACTTGGCTCAGAGAATAGTCGTTTAATTTGTCTGTGCGAACAAAACAGCGACAGCTTGCGTAGATATCCCCTTATCTATACTTGACTTGTCTATCATTCAAGCCTAAACTCAAATATAACACACTGCTGTTAGCAGTTGATACTCTCGGTGCGCCCCCTTAAGGTCTCATTTTCTTCTAAGACGATCGTTATTCTCAAAGCAGTCAAGAGTTCTGGTGTCGTAATAATGAACCGGCAAGACTACGTCTTCCAAATGACAACCCCGATAGGATGAGATTCCAAGTGGAGGGGTCAAAAAGCAACGCAACAACAGCCTTCGAAAACAAAAAATACAGGCCCCTCAAGGAACTGCCTAAAGAAGGACTAATCGATAACAGAAGCTATAATGACCTCAAAACAAGGGTTTCACGCCCATTGTCCATGTCTGGTCAACCCAAAGTCCACAAACCTGATATACCATTGAGATTTATAATGTCAGTAGTGAAAACACCATGCCAAAACCTGGCTAGTCGGTTTACACAAATATTAGAAGTAATTCAGAAAATGTTAGCAATTCACAGTCTCAAAGGTTCTTAAAAAGGTGATCTTTCATCAAATTTTTCAGCTGACTGTTGACAAGAACCCGGAACTTGATTGCCCATCCAGTGATTTTCCGTTCATAACCAGCAATGTTATGCACCACATCACAACTTCAGGACAACCCGTGACATCTAAAGCACAGGGACTTGCTCCTGACATACTACGGCTATCTAGAAATGGATTCGACCATATGCTCACCCGTGGCATCATTCTGCCATCGAATAGCCCATGGACATATCTACTCCATATGGTACCGAAAAAGATAGCAACGATAGGCGACAAACTGGTGATTACCGGCGAGTGAACACCAGAACAACCCCTGATTACTATCTACTGCCTCACATACACAACTTGACGACAACATTATCTGGGGCAACTATATTCTCGAAAATAGACTTGGTTAAATTGCACAACCAAACAATTATGGCATCAGAAGATATTTCGAAGATGGCTATCATTACGCCTTCGAACCTTTTGAATTTCTACGTATGCCAACCGGCCTCCGGAATGCAGCACAAACATTCCAACGCCTCATCGATGGAGTATTTCGCGGTCTCGACTTCGTATACGCATCCTTAGACGACTGACTCACAGCCAGTCCAGACAAGGAAATTCACCTTAGACACTTGGACTTGGCATTCGAAATCTTACGCCAACATGGTGTTGCCATTAATGTACAAAAGCATCAGATAAGAGTAGAATCACTCGACTTTCTTGGCCACACCGCTGACTGCAAGGGTACCCACCCTCTGGCTAGCAAATTTGAGGCGATTGTTAACTTTCCGGAGCCAAGGACGGTGAACAATCTTCTCACTGTTAACGGCTTGATAAGTTATTACTGACGCCTTATTTCCAACTTTGCTTGCCCGATTCAGCCACTAAGAGACCTTCTTCTAAGGAACAACAAGTCCATCGAACTTGACGCGTCTGCTCAAAATGCTTCCACTCAGGTTAAAAAGTTATCACGGATGCCACCCTTCTTATGTATCAAAATCCAACAGCACCTTAAGTATCTTTGTTGATGCATCAAACACTGCAATCGGTGCAGTTCCGCAACAACTAGTCAAAAAACAGTGGTGACCACTCGCCTTTATTTCGAGGCGTCTACAATTGGTGCAAACCAAGTACAGCACATTCGGCAGAGAACTTCTGCCTATATATTGTGCTATACGCCACTTCCGACATTCAGTGGAGGGTTGTGAATTAGACCAACCGAATATTCCAGACAAATTTCTCGTATCATACGATTTTCGTTCGCTGTTTACTGGCATACCTATTGAAGAGACAGTGAGAATTATATGCCAGCAATCCAAACTATTTCCTCTTCGTGAAAAGAAGCGACGAAAATTACTACTTCTTTGTACAAACAACACCTAGTTCCGATTCAACAACCAGCTGTGCCTGCAATTTGACAGGGTGGCTATGGGTTCACTTCTGGGTCTTGTTCTTGTGAATGTATTCATGGCTCATCTTGAACATACTCGAATATAGCCGGAAATAGAGAGGACCACCTATTACCGCAGGTATGTTGATGACACGTTTGTGGTTTGCAGTAATATCGGACAGACATCCACCATGTTCGGAAACATCAAAAAGGCTCACGCTCACATAGCATTTACAATGTACCATGAACGCAACAACCATTTCCACTTCCTAGGCATCAAGAGATGATGGGACAATTGAAAAATTTATCTACATGAAAGAAACGTGGACTGGCCAATACTTGAATTATCACAGTTTCTGCCCCATCCGCTAAAAACAGAGCCTGGTGAAAACGCTCTTTAGCAGAGATAGGGCGTTGTGTTCAGAAGATAAGATTGAAATGGAACTCGCAGTCATCAAAAAGAACCTGGTCGAAAATGGATTTCCTCGGAAGTTCACATTAAATATGCAAAGGAAAAACCACCTACACCGAAACTCGATATAATTGAAAAGACAGTTTTTATTTGTCTAGCGTAAAAACTCAAAGAATTATCCATAAGAACGGAAAACAGAATTAGATGTGCATTGTAAACAACATTATCTCGCCTAGTTAACTGGCTTGCTAGTTTTCTAGCTGGTCCGAAAGCCGGGTAAAGCGGGAGGAATCAGCGTGGGGTTAGCGACTCTCCACCACAAAACAACCAAACTGCTACAGAAACTTCAACGCACAAAAATATATTAAACATTCAAAGAATGATCCTATCCTTCGCTCGAATCGGAGAGGCGAAACGATACAGTGGGCTGATGAAAGTCTTTGTGAAGCCGCTTAGCCGATGCGTCTTCCCTCGATGAAAGCAAGAATAAGAACGAGGACGTGGAATGTCCATCACAATGTACGAGGCTGGCTGGTAAGGCTGTCCATGTAGCCTAAAGAATAAGAAGACATGGCATAAAAGTGCTTGGAATCTGCGAAAACAGATGGAATGGATGAGAACTGTCAAATTTGTCAGTAACA